GGCACACCCAATTTCCTCCATCTTGTCCCCTTTGGACCCCTAATCTAGAACCCTAAAATTTTACTTTTGCACCTGTGCCACACTTAATTATTACTGATATCAAACCCTCAGAGCTGGTAATTCATCCTGTAAGATTGAAAACTCTTTTCCATGGACAGAGATCACAGCCAGTGTCTCTGGGGGCTCTGTCCAGGGGGTTCCTGAGCCCTGCCAGGTTCCCAGAGCAGCCAGAGGGAAGCTCTGGATTCCCACACAGGACAAGTTTGGGAAGGACGTTGGAACGCTCGAGTGCATCCAGAGAAGGGCAACGAGGCTGGAGAGGGGCTGGGAACACAAACCCTGTGAGCAACCACTGAGGGAGCTGGGGGTGCTCAGCCTGGAGAAAAGGAGACTCAGGGGTGACCTTATCACTCTCCACAACTCCCTGAAAGGTGGAAGGGTTTCAGGTACACCTGAAAGGTGGCTGTGCTCAGGTGGGGTTGGGCTCTTTCTCCAGGAACTGACAGAACCAGAGGACACAGCCTCAAGCTGCCCCAAGGGAAATAAATATAGTTTGCATATCCAGAAAGGGTGATAAAGTTTTGGAATGGCTGCTGAGGGGGGTGGTGGAGTCACCATCCCTGGGTGTGTTTAACAAAGCCTGGATGTGGCACTGGGTGCCAGGATTTAGTTGAGGTGTTGGGGCTGGGACTCGATGATCTTGGAGGTCTCTTCCAACCCAGTGATTCTGTGATTCTGTGAATTCTGTGAATTCTGTGTTTCTGTGATTCTGTGAATCTCTGATTCTGTGAATTCTGTGATTCTGTGAATTCTGTGAATCTGTGATTCTGTGAATTCTGTGAATTCTGTGAATTCTGTGTTTCTGTGATCCTGTGATTCTGTGAATTCTGTGAATTTTGTGATTCTGTGATTCTGTGTTTCTGTGTTTCTGTGATTCTGTGAATTCTGTGAATCTGTGAATTCTGTGATTCTGTGATTCTGTGAATTCTGTGAATTCCGTGAATTCTGTGGGAGGATTCATGAGCCACCAGCACCTCTGAGCTCACCCCTCTCCTCTTGCTGGGGTGAAAATGGAGCCTTTTCCCCAGCAAGCTGCTCCCTTTCATCTCCTGGCTTTCAGCTCACCCCTGAGGGTTTTGGGAAGGGGAAGGAATGGGGTTCTGGGGTTCTCTCTGCTCCTTTGCTTCTCCAGTTCAGCTGCAGCATCTGAACACCAAGGTGGGGAAGGGCACTGCCAAGCCCTGGAGCCACACTCAGAGCCAGAGGCAAAGGCACCCAAAAGGGGGAAAGGCTTCAGAGGGAAGAAAACCCCTTCTGTTGGTGATGCCCCAAGCCTGGCAGTGCCCAGAGACAAGATCTTCCAGGGAGAACCAGGAGGGACAGAGCTCTGGGACAGATCTTGAACCGGCTCTGGTGTCATCGAATCCCAGGGTGGTTTGGGTTGGGAGGGATCTCAAAGCCCACCCAGTGCCACCCCTGCCATGGCAGGGACACCTTCACTGTCCCAGGCTGCTCCAAGCCCCCTCCAGCCTGGCTTTGTGTCCTCCTGTCCCTCCACATGGGGCTGGGTGAGTGCTGCTCCCTTGGCACCTGGGCTCTTATAACCCTAAAATTCCCACCTGCCTCCACCCTCACCCTGGAGGAGACTCGAAGCGTCCCTGTCACCCTCCAGGTTCCAAGATGGGGAAAAAAAGGCAAAAAAAGAGCAAAAAAAGAAGCAAAATGTTTTTGTCACTGCAGGGGTTCCCTAATGTCACCTCGGGCCATCCGGTGACCTGCAAGGGGGGGCAAAGGGACCCTCGGGGCTGGGGTGGGACTGGGGTCGCTGCCGGAGCAGCCGGGGCCACCGAAGCCGCGGAGGTGACCGAGAAAGTCGCGACTTCCCCGGCTCGGAGCAGCGCTGCCACCGCCGAGCCATCAGCGGCGTTAAATAAAACACATTGCCAGTGAGGTCATCTAATGGGCCATTATTTTTTTATTTGAACTTTTTACCTTCACCTCTTCCTGCGTGCTGAATCAGCTCCTCGGCTTGGCGCTGGGATTCCTGCCCCATTTGGGAGATTGATCGGGGCCCGGGGGAGGCTGGCGGGGCTGGGGGATGCCGAGGCTCCATCGGGGTGGGGCAGGAGGAGCCGGGATGTGCCCGGGCACCCCTCGGGGCGCGGGGGATCGCACAGAGCGGGGGTCCGGCCACGGCCAGCCCTCCTCGTTCAGCCCGGGGCGCTGGGATGGGGTTTTCTCCAGGAGTGGCACGGATTCCATTCCGGTTCCCCGGCTCACCCGGCGGGAGGGATGTGCTGGAGGGGCCGGGCTGGGCTGGGCTGGGCCGGGGCACACACAGCAGGGAACGGACAGAACCAGAGTTACAGTGCGCTCAGGACAGGCTTTTCCCCATTCCCCGGGACCCTGTGGCTCTGATCAGAGAACCCTGGACCCTCCTTCCTGCCCTGACAGGGCTGGTGGAGAGCCAGGGAAGCCCACCCTGTCCAAAGTCTGGATAAACCCCTGACATTTCCTGTTCGTCCTCTTTGCATCGCTCTCCCCATGGACATCACAGAATAAAGAGAGCTGAACCAACATATATCAGGGTAAGAGCCTCTTTTGGGAATTTTTGCCATCTCCTGATATTCCTCCCCTCAAAGCCTCGGATCTCTGGGCTAACCTGAGAATTAAGGGGGCTAAGAGGGGGGGAAATATCACCAGAGGACACAATCTCAAGCTGCCCCAAGGGAAATACAAGTCGGATATTAGGAAGTATTTTTTTACAGAACGGGTGATAAAGTTCTGGAATGGCTGCCCAGGGAGGTGGTGGAGTCACCATCCCTGGGTGTGTTTAACAAAGCCTGGATGTGGCACTGGGTGCCAGGGTTCAGTTGAGGTGTTGGGGCTGGGTTGGACTCGATGATCTTGAAGGTCTCTTCCAACCCCGTGATTCTGTGATTCTGTGACCAGCAGCTATGAATGGAAGGGGTCAGGAGACACAGAATGGTTTGGATTGGGCAGCAGCCGGGCTCCAAAAGGGCAGAGGGGGAACAGGCTGGGACCCCTCGGGGCTGGGACCCCACTGACCCCTCAGCCTGTGCCCGGGGGGTGCCTGTTCACCCTGGGCCAGAGTGGGGGGGGGGGACACACACCTGAGGGGCCAAGTGGGGATCCCACAGGGTCACCCCCAGCCCCAAGCAGCAGAATGTGGTTCTGTCCCCACCACTGTCACAGAATCAAGGAATGCTTTGGGTTTGAAGGGACCTCAAAGCCCATCCAGTGCCACCCCTGCCACGGCAGGGACACCTCCCACTATCCCAGGCTGCTCCAAGCCCCATCTATCCTGGCCTTGGGCACTGCCAGGGATCCAGGGTGGACACCCTGTTCCAGGGCCTGCCCACCCTGCCAGGAACAATTCCTGCCCAATCTCCCATCCAGCCCTGCCCTCTGGCACTGGGAGCCATTCCCTGTGTCCTGTCCCTCCA